TGAGCTTGATCCGCCGGATTGACCACGGCGGTTAACAGGGTTGTCATCCTATCCATCAGTACCTGAGCCGGCGGGCGTGCAGGGCCTCCTGCCCCGGCTGCTGCTGACCCGGAGGTTATCGCTGCCACAGTCGTAGAGTTTTGCCCGGGTTGCGTGCCGGCCATGAAGATCCCAACTCTGCTCGGCGGCTCAAAGGGGTCCGGAATACTGCTGCCATCGGAATAGCCCCCAAGCCCGCCGTCTTTCAATTGATACAACGAATCCGTCTCACTCGTGGATGACTCGCCATCAGAGTAGATGGCCGTCTCACCGCCAGACACAGATCCTTCAGAAAATTTCCGTCCATGGATGCATCCCACGAAGGCACGCTTCACGGCGGGCTGAGCCCGGACGGGTCTCGCACGTTGAGCCGTCTCGATGATGTCGGTGTAGATGTCCGGCTCAGGGCCCGGCTCGCCGATCTTGCCGATGAAGACGTGGATTTCGCCGAAAGGGACCCGGTACCCGTACTCAATTGAGCTGGCGTCGGGGCCCCAGCCTGCGTCGTCGATGTAGAGCTTGCCGCGACGACTCTTGGTCATCCGACCCACTGCGTATCCTTTGAGCCTTTCGAAGCTACCCTTCAAGAACTCAAACCCACCGTGCGCTGGCCCCATGGTGGGTACCAACTGTCGTGGAATTGTCACGGCAGATGTCCTAGTGAAAGGATTTAGTCGTGGAGCCATCGCAACTAGGAAGCTTAAAGGGGTTAAAATGGGACAAAGGACACGGGAGTTTATACTGGTTTGGCCCCTTGTCGTGAAGGTAATGGCTTAATCCAGTTTGAGGTGGGATTGCTTATGTCTCGATTACTAGGGAGCGAATCCGCTTGACCTAGCTCTCGATCTGATGTTACTTGTCCTGAACCGCCGAGTCGTCCCTTTATATACAGAGTTAAACACCCAGCGGCTCACAGAGTCTCGGCCGGCTCATAAACAGTGTCCGTCTCGGTCTCTATCTATTCCTGCCTTACAATACAAGTTACATATATATGGTGGTTTATCTCTACGGACCTTGAGTCGCCTTTGGGCTTTGGGCCCTTAACTGAACCGCCATCTTTCAGCGCCGTCTTGGGCTTTATGAATGGCCATAGGTATAATCCGGCCCCTCCTGGGCGGGTCATACCTAATAGTTCTATCCCCAACAAGATCAGTTTGTCAGCCTCTAATCTTCGGGCATGTATCTTCATCCTTGAAGGGAGAAAATCTAATATCAAGGCATATAGTCTCACTAAGCATGATCTACCCCTTTCTAAAGGGTGCCACGTGTGGCTCGTTCAGCCTCCTGGCCACGATTGTATCCCCCATAAACATTGTCAATGTTCAACAGAGTGGAGTGTGTTTAGCCCAAAAAAAAGATAGCCAAAGGAGGTGTAAACTTGGACAAAATTCTATCGGGCAACTCTTCTGATGGAATCTCCACTACCTAAAAAAACTGTATGGTTCCATCTCCCCACTTACGTCGCTAAGTTTCGTCTGACCTCCCACTTCCGATAACCCCACCCCGCTTCATCCGCATCTCACGTCGTGGTCTATCTCCTCAATCGCCGCCGAAATCACCAGCCCCCCTTCCCAAAATCCATCACGGGATGTCCTCGCAGCCAACTGTACATCTGCTCCCATCTACCCCGCCGCCCCGTCAAACCCCACGGTGGATTCAGATCCGACATTCCGGACTGGCGGGGAAGGCAGGTATTGCGGCAAAGCGACAACGATGATGAGGAGGAAGACCCTGGGGCCATGCGACGGGAGCAAGTCACATAGCCGCTTCCTGACCAGCGGGAGACGCCGCAATGGCTGCGAGGAGGAGGTTGCTCAGCGGGAGTGACGAGTCTCCCGTGGTAGCCGGGGCCGCTGCTGATTCAGACAAGGCGAGTAAAAGGGATGCAGGCCATGCCAGGGCCTCGCAGGAGGCGTCCGCCATCGTACAACATGCATGGAGATGAGGTGGCGGCTCGAGCTGCAGCGGGCGCAGCCATACGAGCTCGTCGTCGGGAGGAGGGAGGCCGCCGAGGGCATCTAGCGGCAAAAGGAGCAGCTCTCTAGGGCTCTTGCCGCGCTGCACAACTACAAATACAGGTACGTGTTTCTTTCTCTCCACATATACTAATAGATTTGGCTGTGTTTTGTCCAACAACATCGATCTCCTGATTGCAAGAATCCGAGGAGGGGGTATCTGGAGAGAAGGCACAGCTTGGACATCTGGAGAGGCTGCTTAGGACGAGGCAGTATTGTATCCAGGTTGCTGCCTTGTAACATGTGGTATTCCATGAGCTGTCGATAAGTTGCAGAAAATTGTCTTCCATGGACTGAGAAAATGATTATCCTCTGTAGATCCTGCCGAGTTGGACATGCTGCACACGTTTTAGCGACATAGCAGATTTCCATTCCTGAAGATCACAGGTGCTTTGTGTCTTATATTTTTTAAAACAATAAAAAATATGTAGTAGATGCAACTGCAGACCTAGGATTTAGTTCATGTCGTGCTTTGTGGGTATGCCTAGGATAAGATGGTACTGGTCAAGATGTATGTTGATCTTAGCCGCTTCTTATGGACACATGAGAACTTATCTCTTTTTTCATTTCTTAAAGCTTGTATTTGTTTCTTTTTCGAGAAACGTATGTGCATAAATTGATATCAGAACTATCAAAGTTTAAGATGTGGGAATTATATATATTTCCGACTATGTTCAACTTTTTTGAAAAAAATATTTTGTCCCGTTGCAACGCACGGTCATTGAGCTAGTACTAATAAACTTTCCGATGAACCATCCCTATCGTGATGACAAAGCACCATGCAAAGGCGAAGGCAAAGGCAGCCAATCGAGTATGCACAACAGTTATGGTACGGCGAAGGGCGAACAAAGCGAATGTAAACGCAAGCACAAGAGAGAGGCCACAAGTGGCGGTGTGGAAGCCTTCCCAGGTCACCAGCTGCCACACGGCTACGGCTGCGGCTGCTATAAAACCACACCGAGAGTCCGAGACGCCGCCACCAACAAACAAACAGAAGCCACGCCGGAGTCTCGTACCGCAAACGTCGGAGGCAGGAAGCATCGTCCGCCGTCTCTTCCCGGAGATGGCCGCCGTGGTGGTGCTGTTCGACTTCGACAAGACCATCATCCAGTGGGACAGCGACGACTGGGTCATCACCAAGCTCGGGGCCGCCGACGCCTTCAACCGCCTGCGCCCCACCATGCGCTGGAACTCGCTCATGGTACGAACACGATACGCCCACACACCCGCCTAGACACGCGTGGCGCTTCTCCCGGCTGAGTGAGGCCTTGATGTCTTCCACTTCCAGGACAGGATGATGGGGGAGCTCCACGCGCAGGGGAGGTCGGCCGGGAGGTCGGCCGACGACATCCGCGTGTGCCTCAGGAGCGCGCCTCTCGACGCGCACGTCCTCTCCGCCATCCGGACGGCGTCGGCATTAGGGTATGAAATGGACCGATGGCGATTTGCCGATGTGTTCTTGATTTCCCACGCGGCCGGTGGTTGGATCTTGACGGTGGTAGGTGTGCGTCGCAGGTGTGATTTGAAGGTGGTGAGCGACGCCAACTCCTTCTTCATCGAGACCGTCCTGGAGCACCACGGCGTCCTCGGCTGCTTCTCTGAGATCAACACCAACCCCGCGCGCGTGGACGCCCAAGGGAGGCTCAGGATCTCGCCGTTCCATGATCCCACGACCTCGCCCCATGGCTGCAACCTGTGCCCTGACAACATGTGCAAGGTATGAACAGTAGGATGGCAGATCACTTCATGTGTTAATTCACAGATTCACTCGATGCACGTGGGTGATGGAGACAAAAGAAACAATTTATTCACTTAGTATATACTCCCTCCGTCTCAAAATAAGTGTCTTGAGCTTAGTACAAACGATTGATAAAATATTGTGTGTGCTGCATTTAGAATCTTGTAGTATTAGGCATGATGTATTGTCAAACCATTGATAAAATATTGTGTGTGCTGAAACCTCAGTGCATTTACTCATCTGAAAAGTGGTGAAAACCGACCTTACCACCCATGAACTAAATTTCACTTGCCATTGCAGGGCAAGATAATCCAGAGGATTCAAGAGACAGACAGTGCCAAGAACAAGCACTTCATATACATCGGTGACGGGAAGGGGGATTACTGCCCCTCTCTTAAGCTAGGGGAAGGGGACTATGTCATGCCAAAGGAGAATTACCCCCTCTGGAATCTCATCAGCAGCGATCCCCAGCTTATCAAAGCTGAGGTTCATCCATGGTCTAGTGGCGAGGAATTCGAAAGGATCCTACTTAAGCTGGTGAACAAGCTGATCACCTCGCATGCACAGGGGTCCCAATTGGACTACAAATGCGACATGAGCAATCCAGTATCAACGGAAGTGGGTCACCATCAGACTCTCCCTGTCCCAAATTGATCCGTAACCATATCTTAGCTCACGGTACAGGCAAGATTTCGTGACCATTTTCACATGCCTCACCAAGGAACTGTCCTCGATCAGAATTCATCCTAGTATATGATGTAACAAATAATTGCACCGACCATGTCGGTGGATTTTCTGCACATTGTGTCTCTTATAAAACTGCAGGATAGCATATGCGATTAAATTTAGAATCAAGACTTGCCCATCAAACTCTACAGGCAAGTTCAGGGACCAAACAGCATGTTTAAATGAGATAAAACAGTCAACAGTGTAACAGAGTGGTAGTGATCTGCTAATGCAGGTGTGGCATTTTCAGTAATCGTATTTATAAACAGGATTTACCTTAGCACTTTGTATCAGCCTGCAGAACTAGCCATATCTACTTCAAACCAGCTCCTGGTCTCATAGTTTTGTTTTGTTTTTTTTTTTTTTGCGGGAAAAACCTTCAATCTATTCATCGTCACCTCCTGGTCTCATAGTTTATGTATGAGCACGGCCCATGGTGGCATTTCAGATTGCGGGAACAGAATGCACGTTGTAACAAATTCTTAATATTCTGGACATCCATCTTGCGACAGGAATACATGAATCTGGCCATTGACTTCAATCCAGCTACACCCTGGTTCTTTTTTTACTCCATGATCTAGTAGCATATTCCTAAGTCTTGTAACATCACTCCACCTTCCTAAATCTGCATAAATGTTTGATAACAATACAGAAGAAGAAACATCCTGTGGATCTAACTCAAACAATCTTTCTGCAGCTCTCTCAGCAATCTCGATATTTCCATGTATCCTGCAAGCTCCCAAAATCGTCCTCCATATGGATGAATCCGGGATCAATGGCATCTGATTGATAAGAGATTCAGCCTCAGCTAGTCTTCCAGCCTTGGACAGAATATTAATCATGCAAGCATAGTGCTCCATCGTAGGAGTAATTCCATAGACACTACTCAGCAATTGAAAGTACTTCCTTCCCTCGTCAAGTAATCCTGCATGGCTACACGCTGAGAGAACACCTACAAATGTGATATCATCAGGCCTTTTCCCATCATCTACCATCTGTCTGAACGTGTCCAGTGCCTTGTACCCATGACCATGTTGAGAATAACCACAGATGAGTGTATTCCATGCAACTTGATCACATGTTTCTGACTCATAGAATAGAATCTCAGCATCCGTTATGTTCCCGCACTTCACATACATGTCAACTAGAGCACCAGAGACAACTGAGCTGTTCCAGCCAGACTTGATGGCCCATGAATGAAGTTGGAGCCCACTGCCTAAGGATGCCACATCAGAGGAAACACTCAATGAAACTGCTAGTGTGGCATCATTAGGCCTTTTGTTTTCTTGCAACATTGAACGGAAACATCCCATCACCTTCTCAGCTTCATCCGTTTTAGCATATCCTGACATAATCACTGTCCACGAGAAAGCATCTCTTTCTTCCAGTCGATCAAATACCAGGCACGCACTTGTAAAGCAGCCAGATTGCGCATACATGTCAAGTAGCATTCTTGAAACATCATTATCGTTTTGCAACCCACTTTTCAGAACACATGCATGAATCTGAGTGCCATACATCAGGTTCCTCAAGCTAGTGCAGCATCTCAAAACACCTACATAAGTATATTTGTTGGCTGAAAAGCCTTCGCACTTCATCTGCTTGAAAATCCTCAAACCCTGCTCACAGTTGCTTCCACTATAAAATCCGGAGAGAAATGTGTTCCACGAAAATGTGTCAGGCTCATGCATAAGATGAAAAGCAACTGTTGCATCTTGAGCAGCACCAACTTTCACATACATATTTAGAATGGCATCAGCCACTAATTTTGGCATAGCCAGCCCACTTTTCACAACACACGCATGAACACAGCGACAAAGGTTTGCATCACCAGTCTTTGATGCAACACCAGCAATGCCCACGAATGTATATTGGTTTGGGTTGACTCCCATGTCTGACATCTTTACGAAAAGATCAAATGCTTCCCAGGCCATACCATGTCGACCGAAAGAAGAGATCATGGCACTGCAATGCACCACATCAGGTTCGTCTATCCTGATAAAGACTTGATAGGCCTCTTCAGCAGATAGACATCTGGAGTACATCTCAACAAGGCAATTGTTCAGCACGTTATCGGTTTCCAGCCCTCTCTTGACCACCAAAGCATGAAGAGCCTGGCCAGATTTTGGAAGACCGAGTTCCACACAACACTTGAGAAGGGTAGGCAAAGTATACTTGCTTATCTCATCACCAAATTCCGACAAGTTATGGAAAACACGCATGGCCTTTCTGTAGTCGCCCTGCCGAGCATACTCGGTGAGCAGAGCATTCCATGACACGTCGCTTCGTTCAGGCAAGCCCAGCAGCACTGTCTCAGCAGCGTCCACTTCCCCACGGCTCGTGTAAGCTTGAACAAGGGACGAACCAACGTAGGGGTCATCCAGACCTTGCAACTTAACCACTTGACCAACGTCCCTGTGTGGCATTCCGTCGAACACCCTTCGTGCGTCCGCCAGGCGGCCACACTTGCAGTACATGTTGAGGAGCGAGTCGAGGAGAAACGTGTCCGGCTGCCGCGCGGAACGGAGCAGCCGCGCGTGGAGCTCCTGTCCGCAGCGGAGCGCTCGGCGGACGGCGCATTCCTGCAGCGCCGCTGCGTGGGACCGGAGCTCATCGGCTTGCGCGTCAGGGAGGGGGCGCGAATTGGGGTGGGAAGGAGAAGAATGCGCCGGCAGTCGCGTCGGCCGTGGAGAGGTGCCGGTCGGCGACGAGGGAGGAGCCCGGTGGTAGGAGAATGGGCCGTGGAAAAGAGCGAGGGAAGACATGAATTTGGCCTGCGAGAAGGCAAGAGTAGTGGGCAGTGACCACGAAGACGCCTACAGGCTACAGCTACAGGCAAAGAAATTGCCTATGTTTTGTTTTGTTTTGTTTTTTAGAGAGAAATGAATATGTTTGTTTTTCCTTTTAACCCCAATATACATTTCGCGCGTAAAAAAATCTGAGGTACGCCGGTTCTCGATCGTACGCATAGCAATTACTCGCTGCAGCACGACAAGTTTCTACACTATATGACAATTTTCACTCTAGAACATGACAAAATCTTACACAACATGGCAAATTTATCTGTTTTTCATGACAAATCTGGACGTTCGCTGGCAAATGCTAAAAAACTGACGTCTGATTTTTTAATATTTGTCTATACAAATAAAATTCTCAAATGCTACAAGGCGCTCATGGGCTTTCCTTTCAATGACGCACTACGGCACATGAGACATATATACACGCATCTTCACCCAAGGGTAAACATAGCATCAAATCAACGAACACTCACTACAAACAAAAATACTCCCTTCGTTCCTAAAATATGTCTATATACAGAGTATTTGTCTTTATAGAAATTTCAACAAGTGACTACATACAGCGCAAAAATGGATGAATCTACACTTTAAAATATATCTATATAAATCCGTATGTGATAGTCCATTCAAAATCTCTAAAAAGACAAATATTTAACAGAGGGAGTAGACGGCATCAGCACCATGCAAAGCTATTTTTGAAATTTCAAAATGCATTACTTAGATACTACTCCCCCCTAACCAAAATAGATGACTCAACTTTGTACCAAATTTAGTACAAAGTTGAGTCTAGTACAAAGTTGAGTCATCTAGAGTAGATCACGACAGCCACCTACAGGCAAAGTTTTGTTTTGTTTTCAGAGAGAAGGAAACTGCCTATGTTGATTGTTGAACCAACAGGAGACCAGAAATAACACAAATAAAAGTACTCTTGGATATTTGCTAGCTCTGGTACGACAAATAAACGCAAGGCACAATATCCATCCATAGTAATTACGAACTAAAAGGTAGCCAAGATTCATTAATTCAAGATGGTACCGTGGGACAACAGGAAAGGTACTCTTCTATGACAGAAGTCTTGGAAGCAAATCTACATGTTGAAAGTCTCTAATTGCATATAACAAGGAACATGATATAGCTCATGGCATCACGCGCCAAGTTAGGTTAGCTACCAGTTACTACTATATCCGTAGGCCTGCTGGAGTCGGACCGCAGGAACCCGCTTCAACTCATCGTCATCATCGAGCAGGAACCATACGAGATACTACTACTTCATGACATCATTAAGAGGCGGAAACCAAAACAACAACAGTCTTGCAGACTCCAGAAAGGCACTTGTCCAGTGAACTCTTCAAAACGACTCTCCTCAAGTAAGCATTAGTGAGTGATTTCCTTCTACCCATATCAAGCTGTTTCTTCCATCTCATCATCAGACTGTGGATTCTCCACCTCGCTACCACTGCTCATGCCATTGGTAGCAGCAGACGAGAAGTAATCCTTAACCGAGCTATCTTCAGCCTTGTACTTCACAAACTTCACAACTGCTGCGTCTTCATTTCCACAATCCTTCCTTTTCCTTATGCCGTTCGCCGTCACCTTCATGGACTGAGCGGCAGCCATGAAAGCATTATCAGCTGTCTCCATCTCCACGGCTTCTTCATCCTCCCCACCTTCTGTGTGCATACCCTCCTGGTGACTCTGCTTGTCAATGAAGAAAAGGCCAGCGTCTGAGTGACCCATCCTGCTCTGATAGTGATAGTCATTCTTGGCATCATCATGCATCAGCCTCTCCCTGATCCTTGAACAGTTCTCTCCAAACACTGTGAGCCCCTTGTCTTCAAGATCTACAAGCCACTCTGTGAAAAGAAACCATGTACAACTTCAGCACCGACTCTATACAACACAATAACAAGCACCTATTGTTACTTAAAATCGACAGGATCATGTCAAATATGTACATACTCAGAAAAGCTTGAGGTGTGATAGCAACTGGTTTGCCGAGTTGGTCAGTGCCAGCCATTCTGGTGCCAGCTTGACGAGCAGCCCACCTAGCCAGGTAAACGGGAATATTTGAAGTTGAGAAGGCGTTGATAAACGACATTGCTCTCCCTTGATCTCCTTTGGCCCTATTATCAGGAATAAAGAAATTAGAAGAAATTTTCTTTCAACCAGACAAGTTTAGTTAACAACTATTTATCACCTGGCATCATTGATGGCATCAAGAGTTATAACCAATCTTGACACAAAAATAGGCAAAAGGGAACTATCAGCTTGATCAACTTCAGCTCCATTGAGGAATGAATAATCCACCAAGATCAAAGCATCATAAAGGACATCTCTCACCAAGATCTCATCATCAGCACTCTGAGTTATGCACCAAAAAACAAATTGCAACTTCAATAATACGTAAAAAAATAATAATGCCATCATCACAACTCAAATTGCATCAGGGGCGAACAACTAGTTCATTCTTATGAACGATATTGGCACAGTAAACGCAAGGAATTGAGGAAGGAGGCACTATACGAAGATAGACAAGTATTGTTCTATACTTAATTCAGTGGATCTGCAAACAAATGAAAATGCTGGCGAACTTAATTCATTAGCAAGGGACTGGCATGGCCTGCACAACAGTCTGTGGTCTAAAATAAGTAAACATGGTAGCAATTGAGCATTTTGTGAGACTGGAATAGCAAGGTTCACACTACACAGCATACACATACATATAGTGATGATGGTTCAAATAGAAGGGCAAAAGATCACCACAGATCAGACTTCATCCAGTTTACATCGCAAAGATGGTATGCAAATTCCATCCCAAGTAAGGCTCCTGGTGGATACAACGTGAAATACAGTAGTCCTAGTACTGTTCTCCTCACAAGTTTCCACAAGAAAGACCCCTGAGTCCAAGCACAATAGAAGTACAAAGGAACAAGTTGCACAGTTCATATCTCATGAAAGATAATGTATGGCAATTAGCTAACTAATACAACAGATAATGACAACGCCTAAGCAGCCCTCGTATTCTTTAATTCAAGGGATGAGCCTATTTGCTCATGGCTATTCCTAGGTATTTATGTTCCCTGCAACGACGTGATATATACTCTGAAAAGGAACACATACCAGTAGTGAATAAACAGGCAGCGGAGGGTTTACAAGCATGTTCAGCAGGACTCCTGCAAAATCCATCAGCAAAATGGTCATCCCGGTGGAGTCACTAAACCTGAAGCTGCAAGGAACAATAAGGGCATGGCCAGCATCAACTCACCGAAGAATTGCTGGTTCTGGAAGACCGAGATAGAGCTAACCGCCCAGATCCTTAGCTCCTTCTGCAGCTCAGAACGTGGCACCCCAGCCACACCCTGCACCTTGAGGCAGAGCCTGAGCAGGAAGGCCTCCGCCACCACCACACCGGCGAGGAAAGTGACAGTGCAGCCGTCCTTCATGAGCTCCCGCCTGGCCTCTTCCCCGACTAGCGGGAAAAGGACCTGGAACGGGCACCTGTCCCTCGAGTTGCGCACGCTCCACACCTTGACCAGCTCCCCGAAACCTGGCAAGAGCCTCCCAGCGTCGGCGTTGACCTCGCCGCCAGCGGGGCGGCTGCTGCAGATACTGATGTAGCTGAGGACAGCCTCGACGAGCGCCTCAATCTCCCTGCGGGGCTTGGCGGAGTGGAAGAGTTCGGAGACGACGGGGGCGAGGAGCGCAAGGGGCTTGGCGGCGGCAGGGGAGGAGGCAGTGAAGGCGGAGAGGAGGTGGAGAATGGAGCGGAGGTCGTCGGGGGCGTCGTGGAAGGTGAGCGCGGAGAAGAACCAGACGGCCTCGAGGGGAGGGTCCGGGTAGGTGGTGAGGACACGGGAGAAGAGGGAGCGGAAGTTGGTGAGGTCCGGGTCGGGGGCGGCGGAGACGGCGGCGAGGAAGCGGGACGTGGAGTCGCGGAGGAGGGACTCGAGGCTGGGGAAGAAGCTGGCGGACCCCATGGAGGGGAAGTCCACCAGGATGCCGGCGGCCATGCGGGAGGATTCGTTCGAATTGGAGCGGGAGAGAGCCGGTGGAGTTGAAACCCTAACCCTAGGTGAGGAGGTGAGTGAGGTCGAGGGGTTTGGTCGGGGTTTGGGTTCGGTTGCGGGCAAGGGAAGATCCAAAATGCTCGGGGCCGTGGGGGGTTTGAAGAAGAAAGATGGGATGAGAAGGGATCACACTGACAACCGGGCCAGTTAGGGCGTGTTTGGATCACAGAACGATGGAGTATTAAGATTAAGACACTTATTTTGAAACGGAGGAAGTACGTCATATCTAAACTTATCAAAATCTTGTCAAAAAAAACTACATTTGTCAAAATTTGATGAGCATTATGTGTCATCCTATTGATTTCTGACTTGCAGTTGTTTGATTGGTTCCATATGTTGTTAAATTGGTCAACACAACAGCAGAACAGTGGTTCCCTTCGTTCCTTTCTTCACATCGCAACGACCCCAACAAGCAGTCGTCCTCCACCTCTCGTAACAACAGGACCGCCAGGTTTGCCTGCATTGTTGCCGCCGTCGTCGCCAGCAATACATCGTCGCAGCATAGCCATGCAACATGGCCTCACGAAAATTGCCTCACAACATGGACGATATTGCAGAACTATAGGGTCAAAAATCGACTAGAGGGGGTTGAATAGGAGATCTTCCACGGAATAAATTATCTTGAAGATGCACAGTGAAAAAATAGCTAGACAGAAACTCAACAGGAATCTAACAACATAGGTAAATGACTTACAAAAACAACTAGGTAACACTACAGAGTTAACTCAAATGGGATAAACGATAGAGGAACATCTAAGTGGATATGAAACTAAGCAGACTAGAATGCATGCAAACTTGTGATAAATCTAACTCTGTCATTGCAGGCAGCACATGTTGAAAATATGCCCTAGAGGTAATAGTAAAGTTGTTACTATCATATTTCCTTATTCTTGATAAATGTTTATTCTCCATGCTATAATTGTATTAACCAGAAACTCAAATACATGTGTGGATACATAAACAAACACCATGTCCCTAGTGAGCCTCTACTAGACTAGCTCGTTGATTAAAGATGGTTAAGGTTTTCTAACCATAGACATGAGTTGTTATTTAATAAAAGGCCCTCACATCGTTAGGAGAATGATGTGATGGACAGACCCAATCATAAGCTTAGCATCTGATCGTATCACTAAGTTCACTTTGCCATAGCTTTCTTAATGTCAAGTATCTATTCCTTGGACCATGAGATCATGCAACTCCCTAATACCAGAAGGATACTTTATGGGTATCAAACGTCACTTCATAACTGGGTGATCATAAAGGTGCTCTTTAGGTATCTCGGAAAGTATTTGTTGGGTTGCTTGGATCGAGACTCAGATTTATCACTACATGTGACGGAGAGATATCTCTGGGCCCTCTCGGTAATACACCGTAAGTAGCTTGCAAGCATGTGACTAATGTGTTTAGTCACGAGGATCTTATATTATGGAACGAGCAAAGAGACTTGTCGGTAACGAGTTTGAACTAGGTATGGCGATATCGATGATCGCATCTCGGACAAGTAAAATATCGCGAGACAAAGGAAATTGTATACGGGGTTATCTGAATCCTTGACATCATGGTTCAAACCGATAAAAATCTTTGTTGAATACGTGGGAGTCGTTATGGACATCCAGGTCCCGCTATTGATTATTAATCGAAGAGGTGTCTCGATGATGTTTGCATGTTCTCAAACCCGTAGGATCACACACTTAACGTTCGGTGAGCTAGGGTGGTAATGGGATATTCATAATGGTGAGACAAAATATAGTTCGGAGTCTCGGATGAGATCCAGGACATCACAAGTAGCTTCAGAATGGTTCGGAGATAAAGTTTCATATATGGAAAGTGGTTTCCATGGTTCTGAAAACGTTTGAGAATTTTTGGTAATGTATCGGGGGTATCTAGAAAGTTCCCGAGGTCCATCGGTGGGGCCCACCTACCCCAGAGGGCCCACATGGACCCTTAAGGGGGGCTCACCATCCCTACACGGGCGAGGCGCCACACCCCAAGGGCGATGCGGCTAGAGGGGGGCACCGCCCCCTTGGCTTGGAGGGGGGCAAGGCTCGCCACACCCCCTCACCCCTATATAAAGGGAGGGGAGGTGTTGGGCGCACCACCCATCCACCTGACCACCGCCCTCTCTCTCTCTCTCCCTCCACTTCCTCCTCCGCAGTTGGTTGGCGAAGCCCTGCAGAAATTCCCCCACCACCCCACACTGTCATGCTGGCCTAGATCCCATCGACCTTTCCCCCTCGCTTGCTAGATCAAGAAGGAGGAGATGTCATCAAGATGTACGTGTGCATAACTAGGATGTGTCGTTCATTCGACGCTCGATCGGATTGGATCATGAAGAGTATGACTATGTCAACCATGTTCCTGGAACATTTTTGCTTTTGGTCTACAATGGTATGTAGACTGTAGGATCGGAGAAGATAGCTCTAGAGGGGGGTTGAATAGACTCTTAACCAACCAAAGGTGCAATTTTTAGTTCTCTTGAAAATTAGGCAGATTTTGGCACTAGTTAAGACATCACCAAGACTTCCTACACATGCATGGCAGCAGAAATAGTAAAGCATGCAATTGTGCGGAAAGTAAAGGGTGGCGATGGAAGATCAAACGCAATGAAGACACGGTGATTTTTCTCGGGGTTCCGATAGGTGGTGCTATCATACATCAATGTTGATGGAAACTTCAACCCACATAGGGTAACGGTTGCGCGAGTCCACGGAGGGCTCCACCCGCAAAGGGTCCATGAAGAAGCAACCTTGTGTATTCCATCATGGCTTACGCCCACGAAGGTCTAGCCTCACTCGGGTAGATCTTCACGAAGTAGGCGATCTCCTTGCCCTTTTAAACTCCTTGGTTCAACTCCACAATCCCTTGGAGGCTCCCAAGTGACACCTAACCAATTTAGGAGACACCACTACAGGAATCTGCTACTTTGCCATCTGCCACGGCGGACGGCAAAGGCATGGATGGCGGACAGCAAAGACCTTTGCCGTCAGCCGCGGACGGCAAAAGGTGACGGCAAAGTAGGGGACGGCAAAGAGCTGCGTTGCCGTCTGCTTCGGGCAGCTAACGACAAAGGGGCCTTTGCCATCAGCAGCAGACGGCAAAGAAGACGGACGACAATAAATGCGCTATTACTTCGTTAGGTGGTTAACGACAGGCCTTTGCCGTCCGCTGCGGACGACAAAGCCTTTGCCGTCTGCTGCGGATGGCAAACTAATCAAATTGGTCAGCCTCCCAGGAAGCACAGTTGCCTGCCACGTGGCCTCTTTGCCGTCCGCTGCTGATGGCAAAGAGCCCTTTGCCATCGGTGGCAGACGGCAAAGAGCCTGCATATTGTCTCTTTTTTCTGTTTTTTTAATCCAACAATTTTCACAGCAAATATATATGACATATATAGATATATTTCCATATCACATATCCAGCACATAAGTTTCATATCACATATGACATCAGTTTCATCCATACACATTGTTCATACATAAGCAAGTTCCATCCATACACATTGTTCACACATAAGCAAGTTCCATCCATATACATATTACAATGCAAAGTTTCGTCAAGATAGCAAGTTCTATCATAGCAAGCTAGATACAATGCAAAGTTTCATTAAAGGAAAAGCAAGCACTCCATCATAGCAAGCTAGCTTCCATGAAGTGAATGAAATCTGCAAAATGGTAAATAAGAAAGTTAGAAATAGGTGACTAGAACAAGAAGAAGACTAGAACAAGAAGTATATGTCATTTATGAGCTAACTTAGGTGAAATGGATCATATATGAGCTAACAAAAGTTGAAATGGGTTGTTTATGAGCTAACTTAGTTGAAATGGATCATTTATAAGCTAACTTAGTTGAAATGGTCGTTTATGAGCTAACTTAGGTGAAGTGGATCGTTTATGAGCTAACTTAGATGAAATGGATCGTTTTTTAGCTAACTTAGGTGAAATGCATCATTTATGAGTTTTTATGAGCTAACTTAGTTGAAATGGGTCGTTTATGACCTAACTTAGGTGAAATGGATCATTTAAGAGCCAATTTAGGTGAAATGGATCGTTTTTAGCTAACTTAGGTGAAATTGATCATTTAGGAGCAAATCTAGGTGAAATGGGTCATTTTGGAGCTAACCTACGTGAAATGGGTCATTTTGGAGCTAACCTAGGTGAAATGAGTCATTTTGGAGCTAATCTAGGTGAAATGGCTCATTTTAAAGCTAAGGTAGGTAAAATGGATCATTTACGAGCTAATCTACTAAAATGGGTCATTTTAGAGCTAACTTGGATAAATTGGATCACTTGTAAGCTAACTAAGGTAAAATGAGTTATATTAGAGCTAACTTAGGTAAAATGGATCGTTTATGAGCTAACTAAGTTAATTATGCAATTTTTGATATAAGTAAGCTTATTAAGTCATTTTGAAGGAAAAGAAGCTAACTCTAGGTCATTATGGTAAGCATATTGGAGGAAATAAAGCTAAGTCTAAGTCTAGAGAAACTTACCGTGATCAGGGAGGTGTAGGAGCGGGCTGGCTCGTGCCGGTAGCTGGAGAAGGATCGTGCGATGCGTTTCTGGAGTTAAGCTGCACCAAAGATCATTTCCAATGTCTCGTTAGCATTACGACACTCAAATGTTAAGACTAGCAAGTAATGTTCATTCAAATTAAACTCATCGTGCTCCCAGGAGCAATCACTGGCATCGGCGGAGCGGTCTGACCGGACTTCTCGCACACAGACTGCACATTTGGTTTTCACAACAGAGTCATACTAGTTAGTAATGAGACTCAAATGTTAAGACTAGCAAGTAATCTGCAGAAGAAACTTACCACAAGGAGCTCATACATGGCCCTTGCCTGCATGTCATTCCGTGCCCTCTCCTCCTCCAACATCTTTGTCGTCCTCTCCTCCAACTCCCGCTGCCTCTCCGCCGCCTCCGCCAGAAGTTTCTCCATTCTATCTC